TGCTGAGGCCGGGGGAGTACAGGCGCTACCTCGACTGGGGCGCCCTGAGTGCCCGAGTGGGCTCTTTGCGGAGGGTTATAGATTTCTATTGAAATATTTTACTATTTTCTCCATCTGTAAACTAATAAAATATTTCCTGTGTTTCATGCAATAATGGACTCTTCTGGTCCTTAGAAAAGCTCAGCAAAAATAAAGCCAAGAATTGTGTGGGTTTTATTACAAGTGTCTGTAGAAAAGGCAGTGTGAGGTGACACTTACCCAACTATTTACTAGTTATGTGTGATAGGGCAAGGCACTTAGCATATCTGTGCCTCCGTTTTCTAATTTGTAAAAATGAGAATAATAACACTCTTCTCCCCGTAAATTTCCGCTATAGACCAAATAGGTTATCATTTTCACATTACTGACTTTAGCTTTGCATTAGTATATGTTTTCCAGGGAGCTATTTTGTAAATTTGTATGTGGAACGAACGTCTGGTTACCACTCTTTTTAGTTGATTGGGTGATTGCATTAAGGAGGATAGCCAAGTGAAACCGCATGGGAGGAAGACAGAGTTATAGATCTATTTGTTAACCTAAGATGTCTAGCATATCTGAGATCTAAATATATGTGAGTGGCTAAACAGATTTATTAATATTTTATGTGTCTAAAACACAAATATAGAAATCAAACACCACCTCAGTAAAGAGCCCAAAGACTCTTCTAAATGTGGTTCTCCTTAAGAGAGCTAGACAGCACCATGATGGTGTTCCCTGGTAAAAATTAGTATTCACACAATATGCAAGTCAAGGCTGAAGGCATGTGATCAAGAAAATGAAATGCAATAATGCAAAGTTTAGAAGTGAATTATCGACTGAACAAATAGTTTCCCTTATTGGATCAATCATTATGAAACCTAGTTCATGAATCAGCATTTGATATTAATCCTAACACTAGGAAAGAACCAAGAAACTTTGGGGGACTTATTATTTAATGAAATTCAGTATATTTTTGCAGGAGAAAGGAGTTTATCAAATGAAATCTAAGTAGGCATTCTATTATAGTGAAACTTTTAAGTGAAAAATACCAGACATTGTGTGTTTACATGGAATAGAGAAAAAAATAAATTGCTACTCAGCCGAGGCATTTGCCTTAATTATAAAACTAGCAACCTCTTGTTGAAATACGTTCATGGTGAACTAAATGATCATGATTAAGAAAGAACCACTGGAAATAATTTTCTACTTGAATAAAAATGTCAATCATCTAGCAAATATAATATTTTCAAAATCCCAAACATTAAAGGAATAAAATTGCTAGATTATTTATGCCTAACATTTTATTTAATAACATGCACACATGCTCCAAGATATTTGAAGAAGCTCTGAAGAAATTTTCAAACTTCTCTGTCCAATGCAGTAATTACTAGTCACATGTGTCTGTTGAACACTTGAAATGAGTCCAGTCTGGATGAAAATGTATCTTAAGTGTAAAATACTCACTAGATTTCAAAGACTTAGTATGCGAAGTTAAATGTAAATATCTTTTAGTATAATTTTATATAATTTAATGAAATAACATTTTTATATATTAAGTTAAATAAAATTATTTACTGTGCTTTTTTTTAAAAAAGTTAACATGGTTATCAGGAAATTTAGGATCACATTTATAACTCTCATTACATCTGTATTGGACAGTGATCAGCAAGATATCCAGCTAAAAGAAAGATTGAAATTTGTATTCAAACAAAGCTCAGCCTTTGGCATTTTGGTTCAAGATATTTTGAAAACTGAGTATCCTATAAAATTCTGGAAATTAAGAGACAGCAGATGCCATGTTTAAGTTTCATACAATCACAAATTCCCCTATGAAGAGATGTTCAATTAAACTTAATTTTTGCCTGTAGCTGATTGAGACAATGGGGCTGGAGTGAGTCCCACCTACCCTATCTCATTATTTGGTTGTGACATCAGCTACATAGAATTGAAACTTGAACAGCAAATATGGATTCTATAGGCACAAACCACTTCTTTTCTCAGCTAATTCTCCTGTCTGTCTGTCTGTCTCTCTCTCTCTCTCTCTCTCTCTCTCTCTCTCTCTCTCTCTCAGGACAGCCCTACCCCATTTTCATTCTGGAGACTAGTACATTTGCCTCTCCTACATTCTCACCTTGTATAGATAACATCTCAAACACATCTGTATCCTCTAAAAAGCTCTAGCAGAGTATGCTTGGTTCAAAGCAAGCCCAAAGGTGATGAATGAAAACATCCAGAAAAGGAGAAAGCATTTGTGAATTGGTGGTGTCTGAGGAGTTTGTAAGATATACAAAATGTTTTTGAGAGAGAGGGACCTGGCCTAAATGAGGCAGGAGGGCTAAACCTAAATGCCCCCAAGGCCCAGAAGGTAATAGGAACGTGGTGAGCTGCTAGTAGACACAGGCAAGAAACTATAAGGGCCAATCCAACCAGACAGTACATGACCTACCTGAAGGCATTGTGACTCAACAATTCGCAAGAAGATAGAAAATGTGATTCAACAGAATCTAAGGGCTACTCAGTTGCTGTCACTGAACAGATGCAGTCTGCCCTAAAAATGAATACCTCAGGCAGAATGAGACCGGATGATGAAGCTTTCACAAAGAGCAATCGGAATTATCCTTTGCATTCCACTATGGTCTGGTGGCTATGGAATCTTCCTTACTGTGGCTGGTTTCTCGTGTGTTCAATCCATTCTCTACAGAAACCATCTATAGCCATAATTTCTAAGTGGAAAGAAAAATCTGTCATTTACTAACAACTATAGTCAGGCAGGAAGGAAGTGGTCACTCATCTGTCAATATCTGGCTTCTATCCCCCCCCCCCAGTTACTTACCTGGTCTATTTGGTCTGCAATTTACATCCACAAATGAGGGCAACAGAGGACACTTTGAGTATCTTTTCCCAATGCACTTTTTGTTTTATCTCCACCCTGTCCTTCTAGTTCTTATTTCTATTCGTTCACTTTATTTTTTCAACTATTGAAAAAAATGGGACAACACAGAGTCCAGGCTGGGAAGATAATTAAATCAGAGGGACCCCTAGAGGCTTTCTGCCCTACCAATGTTCTGACACATCCATAGATTAGATTTTTGTTAGATCTAAAAAATAAATTCATATTCCAAATAGGGGGTAATGGCAAAATCCTGCATTTCAGTTACAGGGGAATTCAAAGGGACAGATATTCCCTGCAAGATGCAAGCCCTGATATTTTGTAGCAGTGTTTGAAAATGTTTGTCAAATAGATGAGTGAGAGTAGCTTTTTATGAAATTTGAAAAACAAAACCTAGAGAATTTGGGAAGCCCATGAACTATTTATTAACATGCCCAGCAGAAAACCTGAATACTGCAGGCTGTTCTTTGTGAACAAAATGCTAATAGATCAAAGATAAAGGAAAAGGCATATCATAAAGGGATACTATTTTTTTCTAATGAGGTGAAGGTTTTCAAAATTCAGTTGGAGTTGTTTTTTAAAAAGATAAAGCCTGTGAAAAGTTTCCCAGAAATCTTAACGTGCAATTATATTTATCCTGACACATTTGTAGCCAGAGAGATAGGATCTGTCAGACTGGCTGACAAGGAATTCTTAAAGTGGTGGAAACTAGAATTTTGATAAAAGATTGAATGCTGAGTGATAAATTCTTTATAGCACTTGAGAGATAGTTACTTTAGTAAGAGTTTAGGGTACAAATAATTTCTTAGGAAACCCTCTACCATGGCATGCAGAGGAGGGATACATCATACTTGGTAATTAAATGAATGCAAAAGCTAAAACTTTTGATTTATAACTAACATATAATGATAATAGCAAAATCTTACAAATAGTGTACATTTCACACAAGGACTGTGTCTGATACACGAACACTGGGAATGCTCACTTGAAGTTTATTTCACACATTAGCCAATCAATTAAACAATACCAGATTAAAGGGAGAAAGAAGGAGAACTCAGAAAGTAGAGTAGACGTGCCTGCAGGATGTATTACTTCTTTGTAGTTTTTATGTTTACTTTGTGAAAATGAAGATGGCGGTATATTTTCTAAACTACTTTCTCAGAAATGCTTAGACTGCCTCTTAACGATGAGAAGAACACCACTGCTCCTCAATCTACATAAAAATTTATGCCTTCCTCATGTCTTTGCCTTTAACTGTAGATGTTTTGCATTTTTGCAAATCAATATTCCCAGTTATGAATAGTTCATCTCCAATAAACGTGCCCACCTGATAGCTCAAGTTGTTGCATGATGCAGTGAAGTGAGAATATTCCTTGTAGTAAGAAATATTTGAATGAAACTCCTTGCTTCATGCACAGACATGCATCTTTGAATATATTACTGAACCTGTCAAAGTCTTGATTTCTTTGTGTAATGAACAAAGTGAGAACTTATATGTATTTGCCTTGTATAGAGTCAAGTGCAGACTACAATTTAATAACTGTGGGTATTTTTTCCTTTCCTCACTGAAACTTATTACTTATGTTATGGTTTAGATGTGAGAGAAACTTATTACTTATGTGTTATGGTTTAGCTTTTGTGTTCCCCAAAAGCTCATGTGAGAGACAAAGCAAGAAAGTTTAGAGGTAAAACAATTGGGTTATGAGAACCTAACCTAATCAGTGTATTAATCCTTTGAAGAAATTAACTATAGGCAGTAAGGTGTGGTTGGAGGAAGTGGGTTGCAAGAGATGTGCCTGGTATATATTTTTTCCCTGGTAAGCCAAGCT